CAGGAGGGGACCTTCCTGAAGATAGCTCATGGAGGACAGGAGGGGACCTTCCTGAAGATAGCTCATGGAGGAGAGGAGGGGACGTTCCTGAAGATAGCTCATGGAGGGCAGGAGGGGACCTTCCTGACGATAGCTCATGGAGGGCAGGAGTGCCCCTTCCAGGTTAGGCTGTCCCTGAGCCCAGTTATCAGAGGTCTAAGCCTTGGACCCTGCCTGCTACTGGTGTTCTGATAGCTGGACCAGCTCCCATCTCACTGTCAGGAGCCCAGCATCATCCCTAGATGGCCCTGAAGGTGTAGTTTTCCTCCAGCCAGCCAGCAGGGCCTTGCTTTAGACACCCAGATCCTTTCACATGCTCTGTAGGCACCTCAGGTGAGGCTGGTTCCTCCGCGGCTCTTTGCAGGCTGGGTTCCCATCCTCGGTGTGCATGTTAACAGGCCCCTGTGCTAACAGCAAGGTGGGGCGTCACCTGCTCTCACACTCAGAAGCTCTGGGATTGTGGCAGGGGACAGATGAGGCAAGTCCAAATAGGAACTAGAAGCAGGTTTATTTGGCTGCAGCCAGGTTCAGAGGGCACAGCTTTTGCTGTAATGAATCAATCCCCCTGAACCCCAAGTTCAGGCAGTTTCAGAAGTTTTTACCCAGCCTGTGAGGGGAGGGGCTCAGAAGTTCCCAGTCTGTGGGAGTGCACATAAAGCAGCTTTCTGTTTTCACTCTTCTGGGACAGTTAACCCTTCAAGGACGGCACCTGAGAAGGGGGTAGCTTCTCTCCCCTTTCTTTCCCCCGCTGCCAGCTGTTAGCTTATGTTAGAAATGTAGACGTCTCTGTGAAGCCCAGCTCAAGGCTAGAGGCCTTGTTAAAGGACCTGTCTTTTTTAAATCACACTTTGCATTTGTAAACACACTTCTACCAACCACTATACTGGATAAATTTTTGTGAAAACCTAGTAAAGAGGCATCCAGCACCTGGGGTGCTATCTTTCAGGCCAAGTAAGAAGTTTAACTAATTGAACTCTTGTGTAGAGACTCTTGTGCTGATGGTCCTAAGGTCAGTTATGGTCAAGATTCTGGAGAAGCTTAATCAGGATTTTCTGTGGAGGAGACGGTGCCACTACAGAATGGCATCAGGGTCTGACACTGCCCTTGTCCACTTCCCACCTGCCCTTCCCAGACAGGGAGCGGGAGGAGCCGTGGCGCTCCCTCGCCTCTGGAGGCTGAGAAGGGTGAGTCCCAGCAGGGGCCTGCGCTGGGTGGCCATAGGGAGCAGAGGACATTGCCCACCTGGTGAACACCTGATGGAGCTCCAGGGACCTCCTGGCCTCGCCCAGCTGCCATCCTGGGCTCAGCCCCTACGTTACACAAAGGCTTTGTGATGAGTCTAACATACAGTCGCCAACCTGAACTGTGGTGTAGACGCCAACCTGAACTGTGGTGTAGACGCCAACCTGGACTCACATCCCTTGGTGTTTGGACTGGTTTAACACAGTTTCGCCAACAACAGACACACACACACACACACACACACACACAAAACGCATGCACACTGCACATGCACCTACACACACCCCCACCACCCACACACCACCTGCACATCACCATACACACACCCCCACACACCTCTACGCACACCCATTACACCTCCACCCATGTGTGTGAACAGTTCGGCTCGCCCAGGCCGGCAGTGAACCTGGGACTGAGGGGTCAGCCTGTGGGTCAAGAACCTGCAGACACGCCGGCCCACCCTGTAGCACGCTGAGCTGTGACTGTTCTTCCAGGGACGGCACTCCCGGGAGCCAGAGTGTGGCGGAGAAGTTTGAGGTGACTTGGGAGACGGTGATGGTGAGCAGCCATGGGGCGGTGGTGGTCAAATGTGACGGCCGAGGCAGCGGCTTCCAAGGCACCAAGCTCCTGCATGAAGTGAGGAGGCGGCTGGGCGCCCTGGAGGAGAAGGACCAAGTGGAGGCTGTGAGGTGAGCATCCACCCGCGGGACGAGGGGCGCGTTCTCCCGCGGGGCTTGTGGTCAGTGCTCGCATCCTGCCCGCCACCCGCTCTCACTCAGAAAGCTCTGTGCACAAGTCCAGAGCTGGCCCCAGGGAGACCTTCCTGTGGTGTCCCCACAGCTGTGTGGCTCCGGGGTTGAGTGGTCACTACGCGTGCTAGAGGCAGAGACTGGCAGGGGGCTGCCTTGCTTCTCCGTGTGGCCAGTGTGGCCCGTGTCCACACACGTCTTTGCCATCCGTCACTAGAGAAGAGAAAGTAGGGCAGAAAGGACAGAAAGAGAACCCGAGTGGGGTCATGCAGAGGGTCACCCTCATGACGGAGGAGACAGCCCCGGGCAGGCACAGGTCAGGGGTCAGAAACATCCTCCTCGATTCTGGGGACTGGTGCATCTCCGTCCTATCTGTCCCCTTCCATCCTTGTCTTGGGCCAATGAGACCAACCAGGTGCTACCCAGGTCAGGCAGTGCCCAGCACCAAGGGGCAGGGCTCAGTCATTTACTGAAGGTCATTTACCTGGAAACAAAGAGACATGAGGAAGCCGTGCAGACCAGACGCTGGCTGTCCTCAGGCTCGCTCTGGCAGCAGTTCCCATCTTGTGGCACAACGTGGTGAGCCGCTGACCGGGGCTCCCTGGCAGGTGTCCCTGAACCATCAGTGGACTGTGCAGACGCACACTTGGGAGGGCAGGGAGGATGGGGGAGAGAAAGTGTGACCAGGCCCATGACAAAGCAGTGTCTCCAACCCCAGAGGGGCACCTGCTCCACCCTCAGGCCAATAAGGTGCACGTGCTGGGCCTGGGCGTGTGAGGGGGATGCAGAGCACAGAGCCACAGCTGACTGCCCCCTGGGCCAGTTACCATTCCAGTTTACTTTGCAGCTTTTGAAGGGGCCACATCACTGCCTTTGCAGAACATTTTCTCTTG